AATGTACCGTAGAAGTGGGGTTGGCCACAATTAAGGGAGTGTACAATGTACTGGTGAGTTTGCTGTGCATACGGTACCTGTACACCTGTATGTGTACATTTCAAACAGGAATGAACAGAAAACAATTCAGTGAGACTGCAAAAATTGGACATCTCCCTGTATTGCATTTTCCTGTTGGGTAGGAACAGAGATCATATACCGGTAGTACTCATAAAAACAGAAAGTACAATTGATGTACATGTACATGTATGTACCGTAAAGCCTACCGGTATTTGATTTCCTGCTCTGTTGCTTTTGCAAACCTTCATCATGCACATCCGTGAAACTTACAGAGTTTCTTCCTGTAAATCGGCAAATTCATAAATTTCAGCTACAAAAGGTGAAAAGGGAAACCAGTGGGAAATTCCCATAGAGGGTACCAGTAATTCCTCAGGATTCTTCAGAAACTGCGGTCAAGTGTATTTTATGATGAAGTGTACAGTAGACCAACAATCATTATGCATCGTCACATGTTCATTTGTTAGTGGTACTTTCCCTGCTTGCTACGAGGGCCTCTTTTGACTTGGGTTCGAATCCAACTGTTTGCACCGTATGGACAGGATGTTTATCAGTTTCCATTGGAGTTACTGGTACATTTTTTGTCCAGAATTACAGAAATGTATATGGAGGAGTTTCGGTCGTGATTCTTGATGGTCAGTGTCCAGTTTACACAGACGTGCGCGGAAACTCACTTGTCTTTGAAGTCTCTCAACACTCTGGCGTATGGTACATACATGTACATGTACTTGAAATCGCCAACAGAAATACACAGATTCGAAGATGAACACGCATCCACAGACATGGTATGTTTCTTAAATGTCCTTGCCCATCATGTTATGTCTCTTGAAAAACCTTGTACTCAGTGTGATTGTAAAGCAGGTTTGACATTACAAAATATTCACAGCAGAATTCACAAGAGTTGAAAGTTGGGCAAGGAGATTTGTTTTCATAATATGCAGATTTGCAGCATGTAAACTTGCCATGGTGTCCTGCAGTACCTGCATTATATGCTGTCTTTTCCAAGATTCTAAGGCCTGCATCATACCCTCGTGTACTGATCCATGGACACGGATCCATGAATTATCAATACCAGAGAAACTATGAAATTTTAATCTCTGCGTTTTAATGGATTGGTCTGGCTTGGTTAAGTAAACTTCTCTGTGCTCATGTGCATTCTACGGTCTACAAAATTATTGCCCAAAAAATTGGTACCGGTATAATTATGTTGTCCGAGTCCTCTACAGTATGACTCATTGTGAGAAACCATTAGTTAGACAAGAACCTGAAGACTTGACACCTGGCCAATCCATGCTGACCTAGTAAAGAGGGAAATTGCTCTTTTGGGCATTTTGTTGCCATGGCAACATTACCGTGATCATGCTGTCGAGT